AACTTATATGAGGATGATGATCTTCGTGAAAAAGGAACAAAGATAGGATACGTCAGCATCCACTGGTACGATCGATCTAACCATCTACAAATATGCATGGTACTGGTACGTGCGAATAATACTCAAAAAGCCCGTTCATCACCCCTTCACGCTTCATCGATATGATGACTCGATGCTCTTCTTGTTAGTTGTACGATCGCAACACAATCGTCGTCTAGATATTAACGGGCGTGAATGTCAACGTGAGGGAGCTTTAGTTTCACGGAAACTGGACATACTTAAATATGCTCTCCATTTCATTAAGTCTAGGTGTGAAGAGAGCACGGCCGGGGTGAAGGGCACGGGTGCATATCTGTATTTTACTTGTGTATGTATTTTCTATATTGAGCTCCACTTATATAGAAGACAAAACGCTCCCTATGCGCCACTTACATCTTTCAGTCCATAGGATCAATGAGGACCATTGACCAAAATCTAATCGTGCTAAGGACTGGGTATAAGCGTACGTCCCTCTCCCTGACTAGTGTGCTGACCAGGTACCTTGAGAGGGGGTAAAATTTTATACCTACATCCATATCTACGGGTAAAAAATTGTATCCTTAGTTGCCTTAGTGTTAGCCTAGCTAAACATTTAAACGGACTAAATGATTATCTCTCGTTTAGCTATTTATTCAGGCTAAACGACCAAATTAAATGGACTAAACGGTGATTAAACAGGATAAACGATTGATTAAACAGACACGACGAGCATGTAGCGTGGTAAGTTGTGATCAGGAACTAGACAAGCCCTTCGTACGAAAAAATCGCCACGTGAGGTCCTATATGTTTACAATTGTATATAATATATAAAAGTAATAGAAAAAGAGATGGAAGGGACCTGAGTGCGCCTGCACCAGATATAAAAGCAAAGCACTGGCATTTTGCTGATCCAACTCAGAAAAGCCGTTCTAGCCGCACGATAGGGACAGGGACTTCCAGCAGATGAAGTTTAAGGTGAGCCGTTAGGTTCGGTCGCTTTGGTTCACTGCATCCGCCGTGCCACTGTGCCAGCAAGTGCGTCGAAGCCTGCCTGCCTCTGCCTGCCCAACTGCTTTCTGAATTGTTGATTAGTTAGCTTGATAGATGACAGACGATGTTGCTGTCATCTGTAAGCTAATCTCCCCGTTCGGTTAATAGATAGCCGTGATTCCTACGGGAAACGCATGCATCTGCTTGCATTGCACGGCCCTTCATCGACACTGTTTTCTTTATTCTTATCAGAATTAGGCCCTGTTTAGATTGCAAATTTTTACCACATAGACACTGTAGCACGTTTCATTTGTATTTGATAAACTTCACCGACGCTGATGATTCAGTAAACTGTATAGTTATTTTTACTATTTAATATTCCATGCAGTTGATGTTCAGAATTTGTAGGTGATTGGCTCACACGCTGATGATTCAGTAGTATAGTACTATAAAGCAGTTGGTTCAGTGATTGACACGGCGCGGTGACGCAGGATGCAACAACCAGCCATCAGGGGAGCAGGTAACAGGCTCACAGGGAGGCATATCACCATCGTCAGTTTTGCAGCGCAGGCCTGCGGTTTCACGGTGAAGTTTCAAGCAAGACAAAACTGTTCATTATCAAAAATAACAAAAAAGAGTAGACATAACTGTTCTCCTGAATTATCATTCAACATCGGGAAGAGGAGAAGAGGAGGGTTTTATTTATAGAAAACACCGAAACGAAACACCTGGGGTATAGAAATTGAAGCCACTGTGCTAATGTTCTACACATTCCATCAAATTATCTACTGCTGACTCCAGCTAAGGTCTTATATTCCAATTGATCTCTAGCATAAGGCACAAAGGCACAAAGGCCAAAAAAGAAACTCTAAACAAGAATATTTTTTTGACTGAAAAATCATAATATAAGGTTCATTACATAACAGGAACGATAAGAATCTTGATGCAAATCCTTACCACACCATGATCCTCACATAAAGTGTGATGCCATTTTGGGAAAATTAAAATGACCCGATTAACTAGAAAAATACTCCCCCTCAAACTTATCTAGCTTTGGCCAAGTTTATAAAAAAATTGCACAAACACCTTATAGCATCAAACCTGTTTCATTAGGTACACCATGAAATATATTTTAATAGTGCATTTATTTATTGATATTATATATATAATATTTTTGGTCAAATTAGACAAGTATGAGTATATGACTTATGACAAATTAAAATGGAGGGACTATACTTCAGTGAAACTTGTCCACACCGAAGGCATTCGCTCTAGTCTGAACATCATGTTTTTTTCAACCAAAGGGAGAGGAAAATAAGCTTGCTGTCACCAAAATTCTTCTTCCTTTTTTTTTATTTATTATATTTTCTCACTCCTTTTTCGGTCACATATTCTTAAGTATCATCACGTAGAGAGAAAAACTACTCACCTCAATTTTGACTTATGTCTGGATAACCACCTAAACTAACATTTGGTTCAATTTACAACCCCCTCACCACAAAAGAACTATTTTAGTTAATCTATTTTTCTCCTTAATAATACCTTTTTATTTCTATGCATACAAGTTAAGTTTTAATTTCAAATTTATAAGGTGAGAGTGTGGACATCATAAGTTATTTTGAAAACACATTATGAAATTTTCATCTTTATGTTTCATACAATTTTATATTTCTAGTGTTAATGCACTATTAGATGTCTTAACTCGCTAAAAGATTATTTAAAAAACATGATGTGATTTCTTACATAAATTATGGTATCAATCACCTCACAAAATTTGAAACTAAAAATAAACTCAAAATGGAGAAATAAAAAAGAAGAAATATTGTTTTGTGGTACATTGGACCAACTAAATACTTGAGGGGAGTAAATCAAACAAAATGTTAATTTAGGGAATTATCTTGACATGGGTCGAAATTGAAGTAGTAATTTGGATTTTTCTCATTTTATTTCACAAGTATATTCTTATTAACTCTTAAGTGCAACAATTGTGTCCACCATCTTGGAGAACATGTCTTCTCCCTTTGTGCCAGCAGGCATTACTACAATTTAAGTGCGAGTAATCAGGGAAGATCTGACTGTAGTGTCTGGTGCCACCATCATTAAGAATGGCATCGGCACCTTCAAAAGTGCTATAGACAGTAGCCTTTGTTGTTAGCAAAAGCAAGGGCTAATCTCGTAATTAGTGCCAGCACCAAGATTCTTCTGCTTCTTATTTTTCTCTTGCTTGATCTCACTTCCTTTTTCTTTCGGTTCATCACCTCCTCTGTTGTGATTGTTGTCAAGAGGAGGCCCCTGCGGTTGCGTTGCTCCTCGGCCAGGGGTACAAATGGTATGGTATTTTCTGCATATATCTGAATTCGAATATGTTTTGAAGAGTTTAGATCCATGTGTATCTGAGTCCATATATTCGGCATCTGATATTGTATTCATATTCAAATATTCAAATATTCAAATTTGAATATATATATATATATATATATAAATAAAACATCGATATCAATTTATATCTTATTCAACATAGCTGAGAGCATCTACAAGAGCCTTTTATAAACTAACTCTCTTAATCATATCATTCGACGAGTCATTTGAATAAAAATTACTCTCTATCTCTTTTCACTCTCCAATAACTTACTATATCTTGCACGTGTTTTGGAGAGCCAACTTTACTTTTTTTATTTTTGGCTAACAAGAAATTTGGAACAAAAAATGACTATATTTGAAGAACTAGTTAAAGAAATTGCTAGATGATATTTTTTCACTTAAATCTATATTGCTATGATAAATTAGTAGGAAAGATATAAAAAAGAAGCTGCGTATCAGAACCGTAAATGGAAAAACGAAAAAAATTGCACCCATATCATATACGTATGGATGAAAATGGATCGGATACGAACGGATATCACTTATATTACATTTGTTTTCATATTTCTGTCCGGATTCGGATTCGAATACGGATATTGTCAACCATGTCGGATAGGATACGATTGTATGTCGACATCATAAATATACGATTTAATTATTCGGATATGGATACGATATCAGATATTGAATATCCGAACTCAGATACGGACAAAACCTCTATACATATTCAGTCTCGAATACGGTTTGTACCGTTTTCACCCCTATTTTGACCCCGTCAAATCGATTCAACTTACAGTCATAATTAAGAATGTGAAGAGATGGGCGCCCTATTCTCTGTGGTCTGTGAAGAAGTTCTGTCAGCTATTGCCTGTGCTCTATGTTCCTGATTTCTTCCATCTGTAGTCGGAATCTTACCATTTTTCAAATGCTAGTGAACTTCACTTCTTATAATATTCAATTACCAAATGGGAACACACTTGAAACCCTTCTTTTCCTAGCATTTCAGCCCAGGCGGCTTCCCTCTATATTAATAACTTCTTTTGAGCAATCACTGATGTAGGTAGGGGCTGGTGCGAGAAGAGATTTTATTATGCCTGAAAGAGGTACACCATGTCGAAGGCAAAAAAGAGGTGCTTATCAAATAGGTGGTCCAAGCTCTACCAATCAGGGAGTCTAACTACACTGGTCTATAGGGCTTAAGCTAGGGAAGGGGTACGTATGCGGAAGCCGTTTTGCACACTGCCTCGGCCCAACAGACTCGGCTGGGCTATTCCTTCTCCCCGCGTGCTCCCTCCCTATATACGACTAGCCTACTGCCGACGCCGCCGCCAGATGCCCAGGTCTTCGTCGGCTCCTTCTACTTCTCCGGCAACAAGCACCCAGCAGGTATGCCCGCCCTTCCTGCTGTGCGAATCCGAGAAGCATTCGAAGCCTAATCTAAGCTGTTTGGCTATTTGTAATCGGGACCTGATCTAATTGCAAGCGTATATATACGTGATGAATTATGCCTACTAACTTCGATTTTTTTTTTGGCAAAAAGAAGTATCGATCGGGTGTCCTTTACTGGGTGCTAGAACTAGAAGAATCCTCTGCTTGGCTCGAACTTGGAAGGGGGGAGGCGAAGGCGAGGGATGGGGTCCCTGCTTTGCTGCCTGCGGTACCCGGAGGACGGCTCGGCAGCGCCGCCCGTGTGCTGCTTCTGCCTACCGTGGCCTTTCCCTTACCATGGCGTCGACTCGGTATGCTTCTACCACTGCTATAGTATACTATAGTGCCTGTCAATCGTCTTCGTCCTTCTGCCATTGCAAAAAGTTGTAGACTTGTTTTTCATCTACCGCTTTGGGAGTTAGCGTGTTGCGGCGGTAACTACTTGATGAATCTGTGCATGTGTGTTTGTGTTCTTCTGATGAAGTGATGATGGCTCATGGATCCTGCAAAATATGTGTTAGGATCTGGGGATCCATGCGGGCACTGCCAGAGGGACATAGGGTGTTCGTTCGTCTCCTGTGTTCTTGGCTCTTGCATGCATTAGGCCGTCTCTGAGATCACATTGGTGCAAAGTTGGGCTCTATGGTGTTTAAGGTTACAGAATTGGATGGAGCAATGTTGATTTGTCACAGTAACAGTAGAAGGAAGGTCAATTGTTGGGTTTTAATAATTGTTATGAAGTATCATAATTTGCATGGAGCTCATCCATTTTTTACTGATGCCTGACTTTGGCAATTGCTCCATATTTTGGGATCTGTTTTTATAACTTTGAGCTCAAATGGCTTATTTTTTAAATCTAAGCTCGCACAACTTACTGCATGTTCTGGAGTTTTTGGTCTCAGCGTAATGGATTTATATCATTCTGTCATCTCTGTTTGTTCTGTTCACATACGTTTTCTGCACTCTCTTCTAATTGCTTCCTTCCCATCCCAGGGCTCTGCTGCTCGTCACAGAGGTGATACACGTGTGGCACCTGATCGCGGAAGGATTCCCCTTGCAGCTTGCACCTCTGCAAATCAAGTGGACTCATTGGATACCTTCCGTCCCCCTCCAAGGCCTTTGCCTTACAATGATCCTCAATTCAGCGCTCGCACGGTGCAGCACCCAACAGTGTCAGGACATGAGAAAGCATCAACGCATATCCTGAAACCAGGACAACCTACAGAAAGTAAGAATACTGACACTGGATCAACTTGCACAGCCCATAAGGTTTTTGAGACATCAGCAAAACAGCACTCAGGAGGTTCGAGAATTTATGGAATACAATTCTGTGATTCTTCTGACAATGAGGATGACTGTCCGATATGCCTAGAAGGTTGGTGGAAACAATTGCACTGCTCTCTCCTATTCACAAATGTCTTTTCTTTCAAGATATATATACTGCCTTTATAAGTTACAGATTTGAAGTGTCTAGCATGCATGAATAAAAAGTTAAACAGTTAAAAATCTTGTAGCTGCATGTTGTTGCAGATGGAAATACATGTCCATTCATTTGATTCATTCTAAATATATGAGCATGCCTAAGTGCTCAGTTATGATGGTTTGTTAGATTATTATATTCGCTTCCATGTCAATATATATAAAAGTAAAAACATGCAAGGTGGTTTGAGCTTGCAAAAGGGGAAGTAACTATGTCGGAGCACGCAGTATTTTTGCCCTTAAGGGCACATGCCCTCACATTGTGGACCACAAGATTAGATTCGTGCCCAACAGGAGAGAGACAATCTTGTGGTCCACAATGTGAGGGTTACTTTACCCTATGTCGGACAGATGTTCTAATTATCATGCTTGTCATTATAGTTTATGCACAACACCATACATTTGTGATTTCAGCATTTCTTGTGTTCTGAATCATATACTTATTTGTCCACAGAATATGATGATGAGAATCCGAAGATTGCATTGCAATGCAACCATAATTTCCATCTTAGTTGCATTTATGAGTGGATGGAAAGAAGTGAAGCTTGCCCTGTATGTGCAAAGGTACCTAGTTTTTTTTTTCAGAAATTATTTCACTTGACAAGTGAAATATTACTTGGTACTTTATCAACATGGTTCTTTTAAACAGTCTGAAAACAATTTTATGAAGTAGATCTCTAACGTCATAATGTTCTGCTGCAGATTATGTTGTTCAATGAGGATGAATGACCCCGCTGATGGAAGTCTTCACAGACGGCAAGTGGAAGACCCAAGCTAAATCCTGTGTGTTGTGTACATAGCGTTGATGAAATACAACCTAGATCGTTCGCTGAAACTTCCAGCAGTGCGAAGATTCATTTTTTTTCTTTATAGAGTATATTGTACCCCATTCTTTTTGACAAAGTTGATGGTTTGTGCCACACCCACACTTCACATATGATATTTCAAACTAATGGGGTCATTGATGTTAATGTCCACGGGGGGTGCCTACATTAGGTTTTCATGCTGAAATCTCAGGTTCTGGAAACCTCAGTTTTTGGTTGAAGTTCAAAGTGAATTAACAAGAAATAGACTAGCGGACAGTAGTGAGGCCCCTTGGCAATGATTTTTTAGGAGGATCTGTCAGAAGGTTTTTGAACAAAATGTGAGATCAAATTTCAAGCCTTGACTATTGAGATGGCAGAAATTTCTCCAGGTTAAATGGTATTGGAGCAGCAAGGTTGTGGAATATTTAAATGTAAATGATAACAATCAATTTAAATGCTTGGTTTTTTTATTCCTTTCACATATCAAATCTGAATTTTGCTGTTTCTGATATCTTGCACACATCCCATCAAATCAAATATAAATACAGACTGGCCTCTACTTTAATCCATATGCCATATCCAATCACCTAGAACTTTATTCAAAAGTGAACATCCACACTATCTTCACCACTAATTATCACGACATCAAAATTATGGAAATACAACTGGTTCCACAACTGGAACTTTATTGTTAAATTCTGCTCTTATTCCTTTCGAACTTGTGCGAAGACTACTAGAGGAGCTCCTTTAAAATACCATTAAGCTCCATCTTTTGCAGCCATTTCAAAAGCCCTCATGAATACATTTGGAGGCTGGCCACCACTGAGTTGATATTTGTTATTGATCTGAAAGATAGTGAAGTGAATAACAAATGGATAAATTGCTTATACACGGGCCAGATAAAAGATGATAAATATCATCATCAATAAATCCTCATACCACAAAGTGTGGGACCCCGGAGATGCCAGATGAGTACTTCTTAAGTTCTTCCTGAACCTTTTGGTAGCAAAAAGGATTTGTGAGCCCTGTCATCACAGAAATATTGCTCCAGTGACAGAATTAACTGGAAAACATACCTCGTCAACTCCTTTGGTAGGGTCTTCAAGCAGTTCTTCGGCCCCTTCTATGCCCACCTTTCTTGCAGCATCCAGCAAAACCTGCCTGCAATACATGAAATAATTTAATTAGATGGTTCAGAAGACATTAATAGAGAAAAAAAGCCACTCCAACAAAGAAAGGATGCAACTTGCAAAACATTTTTTTTAATTTGTATTGGGCTTGACTAAACCTAGGATAAAGAACGCCGAACATAGAATGCTCTGAAAGACTGAAACTATTGACAGCTAGCACCTTAACAGTGGTCCATCACGAAGAGATTTGGAAAAATGGGGCAATTAAATTTGATGATTTATACCATAACGTACGAGTTTGATATTATCTCCTCTCTTCATAATAACATGATACACAGTTCTCCTGCGTGTTTGAGAAAAAAAAGTTTGATGCATACTCACTTGTCACCAATATACTTTCCCTGGCAAAAGTAATTGAGGAATAATTCGTCAACAAGAGCATTTTGCTTGTCATAGCCTTGGTGTCCAGCAAGTGTTATGAGCCTATGACTATCCATCGTATTCCCTCTGGATTAAAATCTTTACATCAGCACACTAATAAAAGATGCTGCATGACATGAATGTAAACCACAGCTTCAAAACCATGTACTTACGTCAACCCCGACATGTCATATTCGAGACCGAGTCCTCTAAATATCTGAAACACGAGCACATGCACGTCAAATAGGACAACAGTTCTAAATACATTTTTGTGCAAAGCGAACAAATTCTACCATAAGCAAGTTCACAGGAAGAAACCTCAGTCATGCGAGAAATTGCACGCTCATATTGAACAGGACCGAACTTCGCCTTGAAGAAGTCAGATTTCCTGACGCCCTCCTTAGGCGCATCAGGGTTCAGAAAGAATGGATGCCAACGTACCTTCCAAGCAAGCAGATGGACACAGAGTTAGCACTGCACAAGAATTCTGAAACCGGATCATGATGGGGATTTGAAGAAGGGAGTGAAACCTCGAAATCAAACTTGTCCTTGCTTTGCTCCATTGCTTTCTCAAGGTTCTTTTTACCAACGAAGCACCAGGGGCACACTGTATCCGAGCTCACATCGATCTGAATGAGCTTCTTGCCAGTGTCTGAAGCCATGAATTTTGCACACCTACAGTTTTCGGCAGCAAAGATTCAAATCGGTCAGTGATGGGGATTTAGATGCTTGTTAGTCATTCCTTTGCACATTAGTCAGTGTAGCTGAGAGTTTTAGATGAAAGAATTTCCAGAAAGGAAGTGTATCTTAATCGGTCCATTCTATTTCCAGGAAAAGAACCACCTCATCTGTAATATAATATGTTGGATCATGGTTCATCCACCTAAACTCAACAGTTTAATCGCATGATTTGGCCAAGATGGTCATATCCAAAACTTATTTCAACCAGTGTTGTGGAGAAAATATTTTTTTTTACTAGACAACACAAAAAAATATTTCCCAAACCTAGAAGGCTAGAAAGTGTGTCAAATTCGAATTAAGATCAAATTGTTCTTCTACTAAAACCGAAAAAAAAATGCGGTAGCCCTCCATGATGAATCAACTTGCTCGCAAATAATTGTGCTTTTATCATTTCCCAGAATAGTATGATACAATCGCCAGCTCCTGAAGCAAAGGCGCCAAACTAATTAGCACAAACGACGATTAGTGGATAGAGGAAACAAAGAACCGAACCTGGGAGCGCCGAGTTTCGCGAGGGACGGGATGCGGACGGAGAGCAGGCGACCTGGCATACACAAGCACGGGGAAATCCTTCGTTTTCCTCCACAGCTTTCGCCGATAGTGTCATTTTATTTATATCAGCGTTCTTCCCTCGTGTAGTTGGTTGGTAGGCGCTGGTGGTCTCGGTTCACGCTTCCGTGCTCTCAGCAACCTGCCAACCTCCCTGGACCCGGTTCACGGTAGGCACGTGAGCCGCTCTGTCTCTCCCTGCCGTTCCTGTGACCTCGGATGGTCCAGAAAAATCCGGTGGTCGGTGCCCACGGGCAAGCGTGTGCGCCACGAGCCCGACGAACAAGGGAACGAGGCCATTTCCACCGGTCAAACTAGGAGAAGCAAGCAAAGCTCCCACCTTTAGCAGAATCCGCCCAAAAGGCTGCACCGCGCTTCGGCCTCGTCCCTTCTCTCCAGGTGAGCGCTGGATGGAACCTCTGCTCGGATTTCTGCGGTGTGGTGTTTTCCTTGCGCTAATCGATTGCTAGACTAGATGGTCGCCTGACTGATTTGAGGAAACAGAGGTTGGGGAAATTGAGGACCTCGTTAGGTAGGGGATAGATTGGCTCTTTCCCCGATTTCGAATCACGGATAAGTCTCAATTTAAGCTATTGTTCACTTTAGCTGGATCCGTTAACCAGTTACGTGGCCCGATGGGCATTTTGTGGACTATTGGGGGAATGGTTCTCGATACCTTAAGCTTGTTCTTCCTGCAGCTGCCTGTTTACCCTATGTAGTGCTGCGGTTGCAGTCTTTCGCTCGTTGGCAAAGGTGATTTAGTTTTCATCTTCAATTTGCTCTGGTTGCAAAACTCAACAAACGTGGCTTGGGTATCTTTCAGAAAACATAGCTGTGTTGTGATTTAGGGCGACATTTGCTCATCCTACCAAATTTGCTGCATCAAGCTGCTTATTTGATGGCGTAATTGTTCAGTTCCAAAGGGTGCTTTTGTTCTCCATACGATGTAGGATTACCAGGCCGGATGGTCCCATTAATTAAAATTTTATCTTTTGATGAACATATTAGTTGTTAATGAGAACATGAAAGAGGAAATGAACACCCCTTACAGCTTTGAATGGAAACAGTCAGGCATCAAAGCTTGGATTTTTTTTTTGGCCGAACTGCTTTGTTTTGTCAATTTTTGGCCTGATGGTCTCAACAGACTCACATGCACTGTTCTGTCTCTTTGTTTATTGGTTTAATGGTTGCACTGCTCTGCTTGTTTGTTGACGCGCTTGTCTTTTATTCATCATAATCAACCAGGGCCATGGATGTAGATGATGTGCTCAGTAATCTGTGTGTTGTTGGTGTGCCAACAAAGAGCGCAATTTACATATGGGGTTATAACCACAGTGGCCAGACTGCCCGAAAGGGCAAGGAGTGCCACTTGAGGATCCCCAAGAGCCTCCCTCCCAAACTATTCAAATTGGGGAATGGGAAGAGCCTCAGGTGGACCGATATTGCCTGTGGCCGTGAGCACACTGCTGCAGTTGCTTCTGATGGATCACTGTTCACATGGGGTAAGTCCTGCACAGTTCATTAGAGTGCCAAATAAATTAAATATAGTTTAGATGAGAGAAGTAGAACCTTAATTGCAATATTGTACTGAGAGATGCCATTAGTTGAATTACTATATTTCTCTATTTTGCTAGTTGTACCTGGAGATAACCTTCTCTGGTAGTGAAAGAGCTATTTCTCTGTTCATGTGTACTTGGTGCATTCACATTTCTTAGAAATTATTTTTTCATGCTTCTTTTTTCAATTATGTTAGTAACAAGATCCAAGTAACTGTGAACACTACTATTGTTTTTCTGAAGGCGCATCTTATTGAGCACTGAGATTTAAATTGGCTTCACTCAATGAGCAATTGAGCATTAGAGTTTGATGCACCTTTCTATTGGAGTGCTAATTCTACTGGTTCAAAAGATCTGAACTACTGACTCTTTGCCGCTGGACATAGATCAATAATCGCTGTTTGGCAATTGGGACTGTATGGTTTAATGCATACCAAAAGTCAATTTGCTATAACCTCTTCTATCGTAAATAAATAATTTAAGGAAAAAACAAACAGTGGCTTTGGAAAAAGTCAATTCTACCATTTTCCCGAAAGTTCAAGTGGTCAGTAGGGCCTTATTTAAAAAAGATCAATCACCCGTTCCCTACTTCAGTGGAAAAGGGGGAATCACCACTAAATTGAAACCTTGTACACTAGGCAACTGCTAGCAACTGATTGGTGGTTGATGGTTTCAGACTAAAGTACTGAATAAAACGGAACTGATGCCTTGACCTTCTTATCTTGACAAATCTATCCCCTAATATATCGGGGGCTATGTAGTTCTTAGTTCTTACTTAAGGTCCAGCATATCCAACTTTCTTTGACAGTGATAAAAAGTATTGCTTGACGTATAGGGATTTTGTTTGTGAGTAAAATGAGTTAATTACAGCTCAACTTGAATGCAACAGGTGCTAATGAGTTTGGCCAGTTGGGAGATGGGACAGAGGAGAGCGCAAAGGAACCCAAGAAGGTCAAATCATTGGAGACTGAGTTTGTAAAATCAGTATCCTGTGGAGCACATTGTACAGCTGCTGTTGCTGAGCCTCGAGAAAACGATGGCACGGTATCCAAAAGCAGGCTTTGGGTTTGGGGACAAAATCAGGTTTGCTGCAATACCTTGTCGCTTGGTCAACAGCCTTTGAGAAATTAATACAATCTATTTGATTAAATGTTCACTATTAGCATGCTTGTTTATAGGGTTCTGATTACCCTCGTCTATTTTGGGGAGCTTTCACACCAAACACGGTAAGTTCTGTTTTTAATGACTGGTTCAAGTAGATATCTAATCTAAGGGGCATCAGTTTATCTAGTTAGACATTACAACAAAACAGTATTGGTAATATTGCAAGGCATTGATGTGCATAGTCTCTACATTCTGTTTTCCTTTAGTTTGCCTAACTATTTCGATTGAGCAGCCCAAAAATAAACATAGAACTTATACTAAAATGGTTCATTGCATTAACTAATTATATTTATGAGATAAGATGACATGATTTTACTTTACCACCTTATATGGGAATATACAATGCCCTTTTTGGGTGGAAGAATTCAACTCTCTCATGATAGTGTTTTCTCTTTTCTTCTCTTATTCATTACTGGATTTAGTTTCAATAGAAATTTTTTCTCACATGCTGAGCAGTGTTCTATTTTCATCTGCACCTTAAGCCTCAAGGTGTCTTTTTTTTCTGTGTTTTTTTCCAGTTGACAAACTTGCCTGTGGAAAAGTTGACACTTTGTATGCTCTCTAGTCAGATTGACTGTATTTTGTGATCTGTTGATCTAGAATCCATATCTTTGTGCATATCCTAGTATTTTAAATCAGTAAAGCACATAAGAACATATTAGTGTTGGGTCCATAACTATCAAGTCTTAAGAATTTGAACAGGTGCACGAACGGGCCCTCAGTGCCACTATTCTCTCGTTTTCCTCAGAGATGGCTCTGGATCTTAGTCTAGTTTGTGTACTTCCAATTATGTGTTACTTCATGTTTGTTATATACTTAAGTTTCAGATATTTTGGCTTTGCTCTTCTATAACCCAGAATGTGTAACAAGAAGTTGCGGGCATATTTAGAAGTTTTTTATACTGTGTTTAGACTTCAGATGTAATGCTTTTACATGACATAATTAACATCTTTCATATATCCGCAGGTGATTAAGCAGGTTTCTTGTGGATCTGTTCATGTCATGGCTCTATCCGAGGATGGTCTACTGCAAGCATGGGGTAGTGTGCAACCTTTCAGTCATAAAACACATGTTTTTACTTGTGATTTTTAAGACAAACGTACTGCCCTCTTGTTCTTTACTGACTTGGTGCAAACCTTGTCAATTAGCAGTGATAGGACTTAATGTTTGGGCTATCAAGATAGCTTGTTGTGAGTTGTGACTGAAAATCCTTTTTTAAAACCAACAACAGGATGCACGCCAAATTGATTTCAAAATTTCCATTCCTGACTATTGATGGGACATGTGCTATTTTCTTACTAACCAGGCTACAATGAGTACGGTCAGCTTGGCAGAGGTCTTACTTCTCAAGGACTTCAGGGAGCTCGTGTGTTAAATGCTTATGCAAGGTTCCTTGATGACGCCCCCGAGCAAGTGAAGATTGTTAGTGTGTCATGTGGCGAGTACCATACAGCAGCTATATCAGAAAACGGGGAGGTGTAAGTCATCCCAAGGGAGCTGTTATCTGCTGCCAGTGACTGTTGTGTGGTTTCTCGCATGACAACATAGAAGCATTTGGAATATTGAAGGCTAACCACGACTAACTGTAGGGCTAACTGCAAAGCAAACAAGTAAATTGGTTTATACTATAGATCCCATGTTGATCAATTAATCTCATCATGGCATCAGTGTTACTCCAAGTAGTTTTCTGCTATTTAAGATCTTTGTGCACATAGATCCAAGCGGTCTCCTCTTGAGCAGCCCAATCTCTCAGTGACAGCAAAGAAATGTGAAGAACTAAATGGGTGTTGGTATAACATTATTATAGTTGAATTTGAATAACTTGTCAATCATTCGCTGAATCTATCGATTTGATAGCTTAGATAGGACAGAAAAAATTAGATTTGTTAGTTTTCACTTTCAACATGGGAAGTCAAAGTCTTTCTGCTTTCATTTTTTTTTCACTTTTTGATCATTGAAAACCTATTCCAAGTAGGCACTTGATTATTAGTAATTATAATATCTTTGGATTTTGCAGGTATACTTGGGGACTGGGAAGCATGGGGCAGCTTGGGCATTGCTCCCTCCAATCTGGAGATAACGAGCTGATCCCTAGGCGGGTTGTTGCCCTTGATGGAATAGTAGTTGGAGATGTGTCTTGTGGAGGGGTCCACTCTTGTGCTGTAACTGAAGGTGGAGCTCTATATGCTTGGGGCAGAGGACATGTGGGTCAGCTGGGAGTTGGGCCTCAGGGTGGCTTCTTTTCTTGCTCCCTTAATGGATCTGACATGCTGCTTCGAAACATCCCAGTCATGGTGATACCCTCAGGTGTTCGTCTTGCTACCTGTGGGCACTCTCACACACTTGTATCTATGAAAGATGGCCGCATATATGGGTGGGGCTATAATAGTTATGGTCAGGCAGCAAATGAGAAATCTACTTATGCTTGGTTCCCCTCTCCAGTTGATTGGTAGGTTTGGTAGTAATAGAATCTTGTTTTCTTTTCTGGGTTAAATATAGGACTCTGCGGATGCTGCTCTTGCTACAATGTGAAGTTTATTTGCAGCTCTAGGTCCTTGATTATCATTTGTGTGATGTAGGTGTGTTGGTGAAGTGAGAAGACTAGCTGCTGGAGGTGGCCATTCTGCTGTTCTGACTGATGCATGTTCATTAAAAGAGCTGTGTGAGTTCAAGCTTGCAGAGACTGTGAACCTTTCAAATGCTGAACTGATAGAAGATGTCGCATCACGGACTGGTGCTGATGCCTTGGCACGCTTGTGTGGGAAAGTAAGGTATGCACACAAAAATTTGAAGGCATGTAGAAATGGTTTATGCAGTCCATAGAGTATAAGCTCAAATTCAGTCTTTGGGAGCTTTCCAAAATGATGTATCAGCTATGGTGAAAATTGCTTGTCCGTGATCAGTTACTCCAATAGGACACAATTTGCAGTACCAATATTAGTTTGACTTTTTTGGGTTTTTCATTCATTTTGTTTTACTAATTTTAGTGGTTCATTCTGGCCTTACCACAGGGAACATTTGGATAAGGAAGGAGAGTGTGAATTGCTGGAAAAGCAAGTGGCTGAAGAGGTCAAGACTACAGCAAGTTAGGCCACTAGCAAGATCATTGAAGCAGTCTGAGGCTGAAGCCAGTCAAGACCAAACAGTGATTCATCTCACAATTAAAAGCTTGACATCCCATTAAAGTTATTGATTCAGACATTAATTGTTGTATTCATGGAAAATATGTGTTACTCCTCAATTGATTATGATTCTTCTGTAAACCTCCATTGGTATTTGGTAGTGTCCTTCTCAACTGTATCGAAAGAGTGGAGGCTCTGTATGTGTCATGAACTTGAGTGTCAGGTTGCTATAGAAACCTTTGTATTCCTGGAACTTGAAAGACATGTACCTGGTATCTGCAACTAATAAGTTTGACAATCTGAATTCGATGCCAATGCTTGCGCTTGTTGTCGGTCAGGATTGGCTGATACTGTTACTCTATAAGAATGGAGAGACGAATTGGTTTTGTCATGTGGTAGGCTTTTCAAGAAGTTATTCAGTTTGGTACCAACAATAAGCAACCAAGTTGTTGTAGTATAGTGGTGAGTATTCCCGCCTGTCACACGGGCGACCCGGGTTTGATCTCCGGCAACGGCGCACTAATAATTCTTTTTCTTTGTCTCACAAAAGAGGATGGATGCTAAAGAAACTCTTGTGTCTTGTCCGGTTCATTTTCCAACTCTGGCAGATTCAATCACTAACGGAGCTCAAGCCTTCGATTCATTCTGCCTATTGCTGCTTCCTCATCTGTGGCAGATTCTTATCGGTGGCACATGCTTTACCAACCGTGTTCCTTCATGCAAATTTTGCCGTAGCTCAGAGCTTCACTGATGTTGTGCGAGACCATATCATAAATACTACCAGAGCCTCCACAGCTCAGAGTTCAGCTACTCCTACTGATTTTGTAAAGCCTGGGTAAGACATGACTACCAGAGGTCCAGAGCTTCCAGAGGTCAAAGTTCAGAGCAAACTGATGCTGTAAGCATGGACAAGAGCAGATCAATGGGCATTCAGGCTGACAATCTGAAATCTTAACTGTCGCCTTGGCAACGCAAGAAAAAAAAGGCAGCAGTGCACATTAATAGACATGCTATAACACAAACAGTGCTTTGATTCTCAAAATTACACAATATATATTATTGTCTGAATTATGTAAATGATAGTGACGACAAATCCCTTTCATCAACTACAAAAGAACCACCAGCTTCATAACAACAAAGAATTTATAAAAGCTGCTGCTGAATTAATCTCTTCCCTCTCAAAAAGAGCTATATCTATGGGGCCTAGGCAGGACCCAATCATACTTTCTTTTCACTTCAGTGGGCAGTGAAGGCACCCCAGGGACTTCATCTACTTGACCTTGCCATTCTCGGCGACGGGGGTAGCCGGGTTCAGCTCATCCCAGGCCTCAATCCAGGTGACCATGGCGTCGGCGAGCTTGACAAAGTAGGGGTCAATCTTGCCTAGCTTCTCCTTCACCTCTCCGGAGAGGTAGAGGTAGCACTTCTGGACGGTGTCGCAATCCTTGGGAATGGTCACGTTCTGGAAGAAGGGGATGATGTCCTCCTGCCAGAAGATGCCCTTGTATTCCTTCCTCAAGTTAACAAAGGGGTTGCTAGCCTTGCTGTGCCAGATGTATGGCAGGCCAGTCTTGACTCCCAGGCTCAAGTGGTCGCAGATGACCTAAGTTATCGTTTTACAGTTGTATAAAATCATCAGTCCAATGGACATTATGTTTTTAGGAACAAAATGAACTGTAGAGGCAAGAACAGAGAGCGAACACACACCTTCACACACCATCCTGCCCACATGTCGTCGTAGCGACCAATGGGCTGGCCATCACCCATGAGACCAAAGTACATAGCAGGGCCAATGAGATCCCTGTCGAAGCAAAGGTTCATGCCGCACATGGGGAACAAGGTTCCCTTGGGGATTGTCATGACAGCATCAACATACCTAAAAGAAGGGGAGTTAGACCCAACCCTTGATGCAGCAGGACAGTTGCCAGAATGTCAGATTGAAAACGAGAACAAAATGCAATACCTCTCGTTCCTCTCCTTAGGCTTGACCAGCTGTGTGGGAGCATCATAGTCAGGGATGTTCAGCCACAGGCCGTGGGAGACAGCAGTGTGGGTACCCTCCCTGAGGCTGAAGGGGTATCCACGCACAAAGTCAGCACCCTCGCGGTAGGGGTCGTACAGGGTGTTGAAGAAGAACGGGGTGGATGGGCTCATGATGTTCTTGATGTGCTGCTCAAGAGCATTGATATCCTTGCCAGTTGGGTCCTTGGCAACCTAAATGACATGCAAAGACATTTGGTCAGTGCAATAAAATAGCAGGCGTGCAATGATGTAGCTCTAGTTCAGATCGTGGCACCTGCTCGCTCAGATGGTAAAATTCATAAGGTAAAATTCATAATTCGATCGCATAGCTGTATATTACTGCTAATGTTTCTGACAGATCACAGTGCTGCTAGCTCAGGCCATCAAAATTCAGAATTTGATTGGACTGCTGGATACTACTTCCAATGTTACTATGGATCATGATGCTGCTAGTTCCATTGTCAGAATTATGAATGTAGTGATGTGGATCTTACATGGAGGATGTAAAAATTAAACTAAAATGTGAATTACAAAAGTTGTCACTGCTCGGATCTGATCTGAAGCAACCATCTAGCCCAGATCCAATGACATTAGAGCATTCTGTCACGTTTTGGTTATTAAGTAAATGACAAACTGAATGTGCCAAGCTTGTGATCCGCGATGGGATCACATAAACAAGGACACCTGGCCAAGATGAAAAGGACCCTTGTAACCGACAAGGCACTAACTACCAGTACGAGGTGGCAAACATCTAGCAACCCCCGAGCGTAGGTATGGCTAGCTGGCAGCATCCCCTGTTTCCTGTCGGAACGACGGCACTGAGCTACTGAGCACAACCACCTGCTACGGATCGAGATCCGTAATGCTAGACTACCCCCAAGCTCCTACGGATCAACGCGTTTGACCGGGCGCGGCTAGATCCAGATCTGATCCGGGCGGATCTGGTCCAATTCGATCGAATTTGACCCAGATCCGGCGTCAAGACCCCACCTTTCCTTCGGATCCACGCGGAATTGAACGAACGAAACGAGAGAGATAATAAGAAGGCTTACGAAGCAGTCGTCGTCGATGGTGTAGATGTACTTCTTCTTGGAGACCATGTAGCCGAAGCAGCGGCACGCGGAGTCCTTGAAGGAGATGCAGGAGGCCTTGGGGCCGAGGATGCGGTTGATGTCGTTGCGGTTGTAGAGCTCGTAGTCGAAGCCCTCGGGCACCTTGATGGTCTTGGTCGGGTCGCCGTCCTGCACGATGATGAGGTGGTAGGGCTGGAAGAAGGGCCTCCACATCTCGAGGAAGTCGAGGTTGCGGATCGTCGGGATCACGATGTCGAGCTCGTCCTTGAGCAGCGGCGTCGAGGGGACCGACGACCCCGGGACCGTCACCGTGCCCGCCATTGCCGCAGACGGTGGTGGTGCTGGTGCTGGTGCTCGCGCCTCCGGATCTCGATCTCTCTGCCCCCCGCTCTCTGCTACAGGACCGGACCGCGAGGTGGGGGGAGATGTTGGGAGCAGAGGAGGTTGGGAGGCGTGGGAGGAAGCGGTGGGAGGAGGTGGTCGTTATATAGCAGGAGGCAGATGGCACCTCCCTGACCCCTCTTTTATTTTTTCTATAGTCTTCGCTTTGCCTTGATTGTTTTAATTTTAGTTTTCGTATGTTAGCTTTGTGAATTTTCTTTTCTACGTCATATATACGTTTGTTGAATTTTCTAATGGATCCAAAACAGGTTTGATCTGGGAGTAGACACGTCGGTGCGTTGGTAGCTACTGGAGGTGCAGTATGTATACATGTGATGGAAACTGTCGGGGACCTAATACCGGGGTACCCCAAAGAGAAGGAATCAATGCACCATCGAACGATAAAAACTCCTGAGAGCGCGGCTGTATCTCTTGCCCGAGCAAACAGGAGTCTTGCTCCGCCTCGCCCGACCCCCGAGGGCTGGGCTCGGCCCCCCTTGGACGGTAGGGGACACCTCCGCTTACGACCCAGTAGCTAGGTTTTACCTCACCCAACGACCAACAGCGGACCTCGTCTTAAACCGATATCCGGAGGTGGTTCACTCACTGACGAAACGTACCCGCATCCTCATGATGGCGACTACGAGGTAGAGACAAGACATTCGGGTCAAACCGCAATGACAGACGCCATGCCCCCACACCCTGCAGAGAGGTACCGTCGGGATGTGGCGAGACAAGCATCCGACCTCTCCAGGCGTGGCGAGCCCGAATAGTGTTGCGGGCGCTGCTATTCATCCTGATAAGATTGTAGGTGCCGCCAAGACCTCCGGACGAAGAACCCGACGCAGACATATCGACAACCACTACGTTCCAAGGCAAACCAACAATCACCCCGCCACCCGACCCCCTCGGTCTGGGCTCGCTCAAAACTGTCTGACACGCCACCGCGCGGATGGGACGTACCCACTTGCTAAACAAAGGCCATGGCACGGCACGGCCTGACGATCCACATCACCTCGCTCGACACGCCGCCATGATGGATAGGTCGGCGTGGGGAAGAAGGAAGGCCCGGTCCCTCGAAGGACCTTCTACGCCTTAGCGCTCTTTTCCTTTGTCTCAAACCCCGCTCCCCCTTTGACCTATAAAAGGGAGGGCAGGGCTCCCCACTAAGGGGATCGATTCTGAACACACACACACACGCACCACACGGCCAAGCTCCAGCAGAGCTCTTGGCGTCCTTCCAATCACTCCATCGAGGACTTGGGGTCTTTCCCTCTCCCAACCGTTTGTACCCCTACTACGAACCTCATTCGGTGCTAATAACACGAGCGACAGCAATGATCGGGCGTAGGAACATTCAAATTTGAACCAATATAACCCTTGTGTCCTTTAGCGCACCATCCGGACTAACGCGCATCAATTACAAATTTACTCGCGGTGTTTGTTCGAAACACCGGCGGTTAGCAGCGCCGCCAGTAGGGGCCTTTATGCGTTCCAAACCGAACGTCGCGGATGGCTAACCACGACATTATAGCTGGGTCCCGGCGCACACATGCATTTCGGGAGCTGGATTTCATCATCACGGGAGAGGAGATTTGGCATGGTCGCACGCCGCCATCCAATCTCTTCCCTCCAACGGCCATTACCATGAGAGGCTTGGGCGTCAGCTCGACGTCTCCCACGGATCATGGGAGTCCAGGGAGATGCAACATCGCCTCGCCATCGCCAACGGCGACAGCATGGCGCGACCTTCTGGTGAGAGACACCTCTCTCCGGAACGACACGTACGGAGCGCCCCGACGGCGCTTCCGTTCGGTCTCCGCAACGCCATGCATGACCGCGAGCCATCTTCCGGCACTACGCATGGTTCTAACGCCCGCGGACAACGAGTTCGTGGGGGTGATTGAACATGACACGGAGTCTCTCCACAAACTCCTCTCCGAAGAGCCAGAGTCATCCTCTAGCTCCAACTCCAACAGCGGGAGCCATCGTCCTTCCCGGGGATGCTTTGTGACGCAAACCCCCGAGGGACACGTCGAAAGCGTCTCCGGGGAGGAGACTACCCCGCATTCGACCCAGCGGGGCAACCGAAGAGGAGCGGCCGCCCGCCCCCACGTGGGGTGGAGCGACTAAAGCCCGAAGGAGGAGATCGTGAAGTCAGACAACAACTTGCCCGAGAATACAAGAAAGTCAATAAAGAGATCGAGACACCATGGAGATGGTGGCGCGCGCCTGCCCCGCCCCAAAGCGGTACACCAAAGGATCCTCACCGACGACGGGGCTCTCCCACACTTCGCTTTCGGGCGAGCAAAACATCGCCGCCGCAACGGCCTTACTTCACGGTCTCCCACAGGCCGCGACATCCGAGGATCGCCGGGCCCGCTGAGAAATCCGCACATTGCTCGAACGTGCGGCGGCACAGCAGGTAGAGAGCTCGTTGTCTTGGCGACGCGAGCTCGACACCAGCCAGCGCACGCCCTTGGTCCGTCCCGCCAAAGATGCGTCAGTTCACCAAACGCCACCAGGCGACAGGCAAGACGCTACAGTCCCGGTGCATGAACACCTCGGCCACAACCACGACACGCGCAGCACCATCGACGCCCGCAGGCGCGCCGACAACGACTCAAGAGAAGGAGCCAGACATGGCTACCACCCTCGGCGCGGCGGACGCTACGACAGCGGCGAGGACCGGAGTCCGAGCCCCGGCCTCCCGGGACCTCAAGCCTTCGGCCGACACATCCTCAACGCCGCTTTCCCATCAAGGTATCGACCGCCCACCAACGTTCCTAAATATTCCGGTGAAACTAACCCCGGGCTCTGGCTCAAAGACTATCGGCTTGCCTGTCAAGCCGGTGGCGCAAATGATGACCACTTCATTATTCGCAACCTCCCACTGTTCTTAGCCAACTCGGCGCGAGCATGGTTGGAGCACCTACCGTCCAACACCATACACAGTTGGGCGGATTTGAGGGAAATCTTTGTGGGAAATTTCCAGGGCACATACAAACGCCCCGGGAACCCATGGGACCTTAAGAACTGCCGTCAGAAGGCCGGTGAGACTCTCCGCGAGTACATCCGGCGCTTCTCACGGCAGTGCAACGAGCTTCCCAACGTCGCCGACATCGACGTGATAGGAGCCTTCCTATCAGGGACAACCTGCGAGTCTTTAGTTCACAAGCTGGGACGCAGAAGCCCGCGAACAACCAAGGAACTCCACCGGACATCGTGACCAGATCCGCGCCGGGGAGGAGGCGGTCGGAGCGATCTTGATCGCCTCGGCAGCAAAACCAAGCGGGGCGAGGACGCCGGCCAAGGCGCCTCAACCGTTCCGCCAAAAGAAGAACAAGAAGCAGCGGCGCGACGATTCGCTCAGCCATGCCGCCGACCGCAAGGGTAGTCGGAAGCCCGCGGAGGCACTCGAACCACTTCAAAAAAAATGCTCGAGGGGCGTGTCCGAACCACGCCTTCCTGTGAAGCACTGCTCTCAAAGACTGCGGTCTCATGCGCAAGTTCTTACTCGGGAGCACCAACAAGGGGGAGCCGGGGAAGGCGCCTGCCCCCGCCGCAGACGATGAGGAGGAGAAGGACGAAACCTTCCCAACTCCGAACGGCGCCCTTATGATCTTCGGAGGATCAACGGCCTACGACTCCAAGCGGCGTCAGAAGGTCGCGCGCCACGAGGTCTATACAGCCGGACCGGCCACGCCGGCCTTCCTCCGGTGGTCGGAATCCGCCATAACCTTCGACCGGACCGACCATCCGGATACCATCCCACACCTGGGAAGGTACCCGCTTGTTGTCGACCCGATCGTCGGTCCAAAGCGACTCACAAAGGTACTGATGGACGGGGGCAGCGGCCTCAACATCATGTATGCCAAAACACTCGACGAGATGGGTGTCGACCGGACGAACCTCCGCCCCATCCGAGCGCCCTTCCATGGCGTCGTGCACACCGCAAACAGTAGTACCACTTGGGCGAGATCGATCATCATCACTTTTGGGGATCGGTCCAATTACAGGACTGAAACCCTCACCTTTGATGTGGTAGGGTTCACCGGAACTTTCCATGCCATGTTAGGACGACCATGCTATGCGAAGTTCATGGCCGTTCCCAACTACACATACCTCAAACTAAAACTACCGGGACCCCACGGGATTATCACCGTCGGCGCCTCCTTCCAGCGGGCCTACGAATGCGAGGTCGAATGCTGCGGCCATGCAATAGCAATCGTCGCCTCCGGGGAGCTCGCCGCCCTCAGGGAAAAGGTCACCGAAGAGGCGCCCGACGCCGAGAAAGTAACCGGGTCGTTTAAATCAGCAGAGGGCTCCAAAGAGGTCATCATAGACCCCGGCAGCTCCGAAGAAAAAATGGTGCGCATCGGCACCACGCTCTCCCCCGGATAGGAAAGCGCGCTCGTCGACTTCCTCCGCGACAACAGAGACGTCTTTGCGTGGAAACCCTCGAATATGCCGGGCATTCCGAGGGAAGTCGCCGAGCACACCCTAAAAATCCATCCAGGCTCCAAGCCGGTGAAACAACGCCTACGCCGCTTCGACGAGGAAAAGCGTAGGGCCATCGGCGAAGAGATAGCCAAACTATTGACCGCCGGGTTCATCAAGGAGGTACACCACCCGGAGTGGCTGGCAAACCCCGTCCTTGTTCGAAAGAAAAATGCGAAATGGAGGATGTGTGTTGATTACACCGGTCTCAACAAAGCGTGCCCAAAGGATCCTTTTCCTTTACCACGCATAGATCAAATAATCGATTCCACCGCAGGGTGCGAAACCCTCTGCTTCCTGGATGCGTACTCCGGCTACCATCAAATTGTGATGAAGGAATCCGACCAACTCGCGACCTCTTTCATCACTCCCTTCGGGCCGTTACGCTTCGTTTCAATGCCGTTTGGCTTGAAAAACAGCGGGGCAACATACCAATGATG